CCCCCCCCAATTATCTCAGTAGGGTCAATTTCAGAATACAAACGAGACTAGAATCAAAGGAGTCCCAAATTCGAATCCCATACTACCTTGAGCTTATTATTCATTTAATCTCGGAACAGCAGAATGCGTTATATTTAATACTTATTCCTAAATAAATATCAGATTTCTGTAAACAGGCGAAATCAGTGTAAATCATTACATTAGAAGACAAACCCTATTTAGTTGTTTAAGACGAAACAGCTTCCTGGTTTAATGTTATTGCATATAAATGTGAATCGGTTTAATAAACACCTGATGAACGGGGGGGGGGTTATCATGCTTTCAATTTTGCCACTCAAATTAAAACTTACTTCACTTAAACAGCAAACAAGTGCGTGAGAGAAAACGTAAAGTTGTAGTTAAATTGATGTATTGCCCTACGCCGTAATAAAATACAGAATTATGGAGAGTTCAACGGCATGCTTTCGATGTGGTACACTATGCCTAAAGCTGTGGAAATTCCAAAATAACCTAGAAATTCGTGTTTTAAAAATGATCATATTTTAATTTAATCAGTAATAAACAATTCAAAACAAATTACGAGTTCATAATCATCAATAAATAAGGCTAACTAAATAAGCGCTTTGCTGTCAATCTTATAGCTCAACGCAATATTAAATTACATTTACTAGCTTTGATCATGCGATCAAATCTTATAATAAATGTATGTGAATCGTAGGCAAAAAGACGGAAGATGTCAAATCGTAACTTGTTAGGTCAGTGCTGAGCTGGTCTGGAAGCCGCCCCAATGTATTGATAAAAAAGTTGATATGATAAGCGAAGTGTAAATTGCGTCTCGTTGTGTCGATTGTCCTCTACTTAGGTATCTTTATCCAAAACACGCAAACAATCGGATCAGCAATCCAAACGTGGAAAATCTTAGAATCGTTCTTTAAAGTATGAAAAGTGTTCAAATAGACGTATTTACTGAAGTCAAGGAATTGCAAACTTTGCCAAAACCTGAATTCTTCATTTTCACTCAGAAGTCCGCCATTTCAAAAACTTGTTGATTGGTAGTTCTGATCGATTTGTCTTGACTCTTTGAATCAGTTGCAGACTTTATGTTCCGCTATACATTCATTTACAGATTTTGGAATACCAGGAATAATGGCCGCTCCAAAGATGTGTTGGTTCACTTACAAAGGAAGTGACTATCGAGACGGTCAAGTCGGTTGGACCAACTCTCCCTTTTACGCCGATACGTATCCACCAAACTCCAACTGCCTGTACCTATTCAAATTCGAGCCTGAACAATCCATTCTTCTTTCATTTACATCCTTTCAAACAAAGGAGGAGACTTTAACAGGAAATAGCCACTTCCACAAGGATTTTGCCAGCTGCAAAGAGGTAAAGACCTCGCTTAGCTAGTTGTTTGAAATTTATTAAATTTGTTTAGGCTGCTTTTCTACTCGTAAAGTGTATTGAAAATTAAATTAGTCTGAGTGGTTTGTTTTTCTGTCTTCTGCCTGACAGGATTATCTTGAAGTGATTGAATTGCTCAATGAAATTACCCACGAGGGGAGACTGCTGCAAAAGTTCGCCAATAGCAATCAACAAAAGTGGACTGAGCACGCTTTTAATGACTTTCCTCTTATTCAAATTGAGGAATATCGGAAGACGCATTCAATCTGTGGGGATTACATTCCAGGCCCCCTGATACCCAGTCCTTCAGCGAAACACCTCCTTCTTGCATTCCGCTCGAATGATAGAGCCGCATCTACCGGGTTCCAATTGAAATTCCAATTTCTCCCAAGGCTTAAACTTTTCCCCAGACCTCATGGTAGGAATTTGACTTATCGTTAAAGTATTTTGCATCTCTGCTTCCACCTTAAAACATCTTATGCACTAGAAGTTTTCACAGAATAGAAGTCAAGTAGGTTACTTGAAATACCTTAATTATTGTTTCTTGTTGATAGGTATTTTGATAAATGCAGTCATACATGTATGAATTCCTGTCAAAAGTAGTTTAGTTCTCAAGAGTGAACCACCATTCCATTGGACATTCACTTCTCAGTGGGCGTATACCATATTTCCGGGGCGTTTTACTTGTAAAGTTAGCAGATTGTGAACAAGAATATAATGTTAGGGAGTAGGTATACCATTTTCGCATCTCCGTGTAGGGAGCACTATTGGTGGTAGCTCAATTTCGATTGAAATAACTGCGTTTATTTGACGGTAAAATAATCCTAACCAAGGCAACCCGAAGGGGTCAAGTCTACTACAAACACTGATCCGCAATTGAATGCAAAAATGCAAATGGGTTACCAATGGGGTGCGAAAATGATTCATATTTAAAAATATTATGTCTTGATATGATTACGCCTTTTAATTAAACAGCAGCCAACTGATAAATTCTAAAATTCCCAAAAATGTGGCCATTTTGATCAATCCATTCCTGTTTGACTGGCATTCATTTTTACCTATTTCAATACATTTGACAGACACATTTTCAGTGCTTCAAATTAACATGATATTTTTCTTTGTTAAGAGTGGAAAAGGAAGTTTATAAAAGTATGAATTTCCAGTCAGGAAAAATATGAGCGATTTTAACAGAATGTAATAAGGTGGATGCGCCGCTTGTTCTAAAAAAAGAGATTTCTGTTGCTGATATGTGAATTATTCCTTTATCACCTTTCACTTGAAACTGAAGGTAGGATGGGCTTGAGTAGACAATAAAGAATAGTGAACATCAGCCAAAGGTCTCCAAGTAGCCTCAGACTCGGTTAACTCCTTATATTTGCATTTCTGAATCAATAAATGTACTTGCGTTAAGATATTGTACTAGTGTTTTAATAGTGTTTTAATTAATTGTATAATGTCAACGAAGAGGGCGCAGTATCGAAGCGCGCATTTTAAAATTCAACAATTGGTCTCAAAGTCGCCCATGGTTCTTTTTTGGGCGTAAGACCCACTCTGTTCCCGTTACTTTGGCATCCAACAGCTGTTTGACCTTTAAGTGACATTTATTAAGGCGCACAGTACTCTAGTAAATTAAGAGGATCTTAATGATTTCAAAACTTAAGGATTTGTCCTCACGACTTAGATGAAACAATTGATGTTCTGTTGTTGTGATTTTCACTGATGAAAAGCAGAGAGTCGTGGACAAAGTAAAACTCTAGTTAGAATGACTTGGGGGCCATTTCTTACATTAATTTGGATGGAACTTGGCAGTTGGAGCATAAATTCCATTTACTCATCCCATTTTCGTTCCATTTTTGAGCAAAAGGGCAATAAAGTTAGTTTCATCCTCTACACACCTCGAAAGTTAAGCGAGGTAGTGGGGTTGTGGCGATATGCCACTGAGTGCCCATATTATGCTCACACATGTCTGACATCACATGCCAAACTTCGAGCTGCGCAAATGTCTTTGCCATTGTGATAAATGAGAAAAGCGTAATAAAAAACAATAATACTAATAATAGTAATATATTGGTTATTATTTATCTAACTACCTTTTATTTTGATACACCTTCAGACAGAGCTGATTTTTCTGTCTCCATCCGATTGTGATTATTAAACTTGACCCCTTATAAGGTCAAATTAGTGTAACCTAGTCCTATTATACTATCATAATGAAAAGAAACAAATAGCTTAATGGCGGGGAGGTGGAATGTCATGTGACTTTCATTCTGAATACCAATATCTACCACTTTTTTTACCTCCTACCACAAATGCTCCATGGAAATTAGAAGCTCATGAAAATTTCAAATTTCAGGGGCAAAGAGTAGTGTGGAAACTTTGAGTTTAAAACTTCAAAAGTGCTTCACACATTCTTCATAAATTTTATACTGTTTTTATACCAATTAACTTAAATAAAGTAAATATGGTGCCTTCGGTGTCAGTCACTTTTAACTTCCATTTTATTCCAAATACTGTAAAATGTGTTAGATTGTTGAATACTCAAGTGTTGTTCTTATCCAGTGCCATTTGATGCTCTATTGTGTCAAGTCTAGTGTCTTCTTTGTAGTGTATTCAGGTTCCATTATAGGAAGACAACCTTTTATCGAATACTCTGCCGAGATAGGAGCTAAGAATCCTGCATTTAATTCGCGTTAAATTCAAGAAAACAAAATTTTCCCCCTAACAAAGTTATTCACTAACTTGAAAGAAAGGTCACTACTTGTTTCAGAACAATGTATTTCGGACGAGGGAAACGTAACGGAATTCGGTGGCGTTCTCCTAAGTCCAAATTACCCAAATTCCTATCCAAAGAGCCTTAACTGCGAACGAACCATCAGTGTGAATGAACCGGCTCAGGGTATTCTGCTGCAATTTCTAAATCTTTCCGTGGAGGGAACAACTAAGGGTACGAATGTCTTTTCACATAATTTTGCAACATTTCAACGTATTCAAGTTCGCCACCGCTAGTTATACGGATTGCTATAATATTTATTAATAATAATTTATTTTAAACGGCAAGTACATTCCACCATACTTAAGCGATCTCTTATTATTTAGGATGCAAAAATGCTGTGGTTCGAATAAAGGAGGCCGATTCGCTACGTTCAGTTTCTTCCATTTGTGGATTTGCTTCAGTGGTTCCTGCCTACGTGTCAAAGAAAACTTCGGTTACAATAAGGTATTTTAACCTATGATGTGACAGCATTGATTCGTCTTCACTGCCCTGAGGCCCACTCCACAAAACCGATCTGTCAGCGAGGCTTATTAATAATTAAATAAACCAAATAAATGATTTTAAAAATCAGGTGACTAAAAAGTACTCCACAAGTTTATGAAGACGAATAGTTCGGTTAATATCATGTTTAATCAACCATGTCTGAATTCTGGAAGTAAATATTCTCTAAATACTGCATTAATCGATCTTTTAGGTGGGTTCAAATCGAATCTGATTACTTTCTAACTTCATTTTTAAACCTGAGGATATGGTTGAGTAGGGGAAAAAGCTCGTTACCATTTGCTTCTTTTTTTAAATCAGACATGATTATTGATTTCCTATCTATCACACGAAAGATAAGCAGATCTAACTTTTATCATTTCCAAGGTCTTAGATTCATTTAAATCAATAAAGGAAAGTGTCTAAGATGCTGTTTGAGTTGGAAAAAAATTAAATTTGAAAAGTTGATAGGGTAAAAATGGAAAGTTCCAAGGTATTGGGACCTTTTATTTTAAATAGTTTTCAAACGAATCAAGAAATAGCTCTTGAAGAAATTTATTTAAAAGGAACATAATTTTTTTTCTATTTTTCTCCTTGGATCTATTGCTTGAAAGAAATATAATCGGTTTTGTGCTCAAAGATAGCAGTGAACTCCAATTGATATTAGGAAAGCTATTTATTTATTCTAATTTACATTCTGTCTTGTAGGTTTTAACTGGTTTTTCATCCAATAGGCTCTTATATTAAAGGAAACATTTCCCAACAATGGTGAAATTACTGTCTATTTTAGAAGTTAAATTTATTGCAAAATTTGTCGTGTGTTTGCTGCGAACCAGCTGGCGATAAATGGGCTATTTGGTCTGAAATAAAGTTTATTTTGGCTTGTTTGACTGAAGATAAAACATCTTCATGATGCTCTTCGAACCATAAGTTTCGTCCTACATTGGAAAGGTATTCTTTAAATTAAGCCTTAGTTAGTTAGTTAGTTAGTTGGTATCACAGAACTCGTATGCTTAGGGGAGAGTCGCGCAGGTAGCATGGAGGGAGAGTGGAAGAGATTAGCAAAGAAGAAATTGAAATAAAATCGTTGGAACGCTCAGGTCTGATGTGAGACTAAATAGAAACTATAAGAAAACCCATGGAAGTAGTGTTTTCATCCGGGATGACCATCGAACATTATCAAATGGATTAAAAGATATTCAGTTATTTACACAATACTGAGAATCTCACATCTGCTATACCTGGTCAGAAAATAATAAAAATAATAATAGTGGCAAGATCGGCCACCTTAATTAAAATTACGGGCTTTCGTATTTAAATATGTTTTCTAAGTTTCAGGGAATTTTAAATCGACTGCAATGTGAACATTGGAATTTGAAATGTCTATTTAGAAGATCCTCCACAACCCGATTTCAAAAGTTACATGAAAAAAGATTCTAAGACACCTTGACATTATTTGACTTTCTGATTTTAGGCCAAATTTTATTGAAATAATTATTCATTGCTTACTGCAAAAAGCGATAATGATCATTTAGTGTGGAAATGGGAAATATGAAGGTTAAGAGAAAGAAATGAGGTGAGAGTATGTTCCGACTTTAAAGTGTGAAAGGTTCTCTTGTGGCAGGAAAAGCATTGGTCCATCAACACCTTGAAATGCTTGAGTACTTTGAAGCTAACTGGATCCAAACTTTGAAGCTGCAATTTTGAACATAAACCGGTAATCTTACTAACTAAAGACAGTGGAAATTTGAAGACCCACCATTTAGTAATTGCACCGTAGGCAATTATCGTGGCTGTCTGCAAATGATGAAGTGACTAGTTCAATACCCGCCAATGCACGCCAATTAAGCAAAGTGATAAGCCACACTGGTTCGTAAATTCAAGGTTCCATGTCATCTTCCCTCAACCGAAAATGGGGCTGGAAAATGCTTTCCAAAGTTGAGTTAAAAACTTAGGCCCGACTTTATAGTCTTGCCCAATATTACCTTGAGGTAACCATTCTAGAATACGTACCTAATGTAAATCAAATCAACCTTGAACGCCCAATTATGAGCACTTTTTAATTCAAATCACCGAAGATACATTTCTCTGTTTGATTGAGAATTGGATATTAAAATAACTCTGGGAAAAAAGAGGGCAGGTTTGATTTTTTTTAGGGAAGGGAAAACGTCATTTTTCTGTCCAAAATAAACTATTGAAAGCTAATTGCTTGTCATCACGTAGTTAACAAACGCCTATTAGATGCGTTATTAAACTTTTCAATCTGTTCTTCGGCACTATGACCTTGTTTATACTTATAATTTTACCTAAAATATTAATTTTAAATTTTTAATTATTTCCAGTTTATATTTATATATATTTTACTGCATTTTAACAACCTTCAGAGGGACCTTTAAGTTAAACACAGATTTATTGTGTTTGACTAAATTGAAATGTGATTACATTTGTATTTAGCTTTCTGAATATGGAGATTTCTACCCACAAGGAGAGTTAAAAAACGTGAATTTGTAGTCCGATTGGAGGTGCAATAAGATGTAACTTTTTATTGCTTTAGCATGGTCACAAATGAAAACGCACATGGAGGTAATGGATTTAAAATCGTATGGACAAAGTTGCTGCCACTTGGAGCACATGGTAAGTGACCGCTAATGCAAAATCATTGTGTTTTTATCAATGGTTATTAGATGCACTCAGATGCACTTATAGTTAAATGTAGCTTTTAACGCCCGAATTATTTTTTTTCTTTTTTGAAAAATGCACCCGACCGCACCCACACTCGTCTCAAAGCAGACTGATGCCGACGATGTGATGTGGTTTGGTAATATCAGGCGAAGGCGGCTATAGACACGTATTGAACATGTCTTAAACGGCAATAGCGTCTTCTATTACGAGTCTAGTTTCAGTGGAGCTTATTTTGAAAGAGGAGCGAATGGACAAATATAGCTTTAGCCACTGCAGTCTAGCTACAGTTATAATTAATTCATGCGAACTACCTTGCATGGTCTAGAATGCATTTCAATAAAACCAAAAAATATTTTTAATTAATAGTCTATTGGACCGAGTAATAGTATTTAAGCACAATTGGATGTTGTAGGATAAATCATCATCGACTTAAAACAGTTGATTTTGCATTACTCATCAAGATGTTAGGAGCATAGTGCTTTCTCTTGCTAAAAGATTGATAATCGATGTTTTGACCATCTGTCGAAAGTGGATGACTCATCCCATAACAAATTTTTGGATCTATCACTCTGGAGACTATTCGTTGGTATGCCCTTTTATTTTGTTAGAGCAGATCGTCTTCTGTTAATTGCAACATCAAGTTCAAAGCCACATTTTAAACTCTATTCAATTAAATACAGTTAGTTTCCTTTCATTAAAACGGAAGATTTGGAAAATGAATTGCCTTAATTTTCAGAATAGGAAAAGTTCACTTCATTTCTCCCATTCGTTGAGATCTTTTTAGAGGGCATTTGAAACCACTACACTAAAGTCTATTAAGAGGAAAATCATGTTGGAGATCATTTGGAATTTCAATTAACATCCTTCACAACCCACTTATAGTCAATGGAAAGTGGGCATCTGGAGTTGATCGAGTCACATTCGACTTTATTAACTGAAGATCCGTCAATTTTTCTTTGAAATGGATAAAGTATTGTGGAGAAAAGTCTTTAATGGCTTTTCGAAACTATTTGGGGCTTTTAACGAGATTAAAATGAATTCACACACTTAGTTGGGTAAATTTCACTAAAAATGTGAAGAGAAGGTGAAGAAAAATCGCGTGGCGAAGGCGAAGTTCAGGAAGGAAGGAAGGAAATGGCAAATTGCTTCAAGTGTCAAGGGAACTGATTGGGAGTTAATTTAAGCTTCATTGTTAAATTGGCTTCGCATTCTTTCAGCCTAAATAGGCAGAAACCGAAAATGCAGCCTTGAGCAATTAGATTATACAATATTGGAAAAAATGGTGAGAAGTTTGAATAAATCGCAATTAAATAACATATACTACTTATTTTCTTGTTAGCTAAAAATGAATAAATCCTCCCTCCTGGTCAATGCAATTCTTTTATGGTTAGAAGTTGTTTCCAAGGTCACTATATATATATATATATATATATATATATATATTGTTGAGGAAAATAAATACTTTTACGCAATGGCTATTAGTAGATGCAGTAAATTGTGCTTAAGTTTCTCGCATTTTGTCTTTTAGATCAATGTCCTGAATTTCTATGCCCATATTCGCATCACTGCATTCCACAGGAATTGGAATGCAACGGATTTCCTAATTGCGGCACTTACATCAAGGATGGCCATATCCTCACGGATAATTCAGACGAGGCTACCAATTGTATGTTCAACGAAACATATTTATTTCATTTTTTCCAAAAAGATTAAATCACTTTCGAATGCTTATAGGAAATACTCACCTCTGCAGACTGTTGCCTTCTCGAACTATAACTACAGTTATTAGTCTTTGAGTTTAATTTACTCTGATTTGGGTAATCATTAAAGGAAATGGCAAATAAACATCCTAATTGATTGGAAATCTTATTGAAGGAAAGAAATGCTCCTTTGTTATGAACTACTGCGTGCATGAATATGCCTCAAGTTCACCAAAGGGGTACCACTGAGTTGTGTGTCTGTGTGTTGTAAAAAGCGAGATCGTTTTAGTGTCACTTAGTGCAAATTTCACATTTATCTACTTATCCCCTCGAAGAGAGAATGGAAAGATCGCCCAACCTTATAATCTCAAGCATTTGCAAATGCATCCATATAACTTATAAAGGAAATTATAACTGGCTCTCAACTTTCTTTCGCTTTCGTATCCAATCAGATTCTTTATTTAAGCCCTTTCTAAACTCATTATAAATCGAATATTCCAGTATCGTATATTTAGCTACAACATTGGCTTATTTCAAGAATAGGGATTTGAAATCAGTATATCCCTCTCTCTTCATTAATGTCACATATGGATTCATTAACTTAATCAAATACAGAATGATTGTTTGTTTAATGACAACTACTTTTTAGTCCTACTCAAATGGTGAAATGACCAGAGCGTTAAAAACAACACTTTCAAAGAAAGATTTTTTATTTATTTATTTCAAATGGCAGACTTCATGATAGTTAACGTAAGCCCTTCAGTTGACTTTGGGTTTCACAGATAGGAGAAACTTCAATGTCACAAAAGTCTAGAAGGGGACAGAATAATGATTCACAAATGTAAAGGAGACAGACAGACACAAAGGCAGAGAAAAGGTAAGATGAGTACTGTAGAAGTGGTCGAATATGATATACAATGAGGTTATAGTAGTTAGAAGTCAACTGCCAGTTAATAGACTTTTTTGTCGAATGAGTATACGTTGCCCAGGGTGCACCACGTGGAGGTAAGTCTATCGCACACCCCATTTTCAAAGAAAGATAAAGGTGGCATGAAGACGCGGGGTCCAATTGAGGTAATGTGATGTCCTCCCATAAGTTGTGTTTAAGCACTTTTTTGCCCAGCAGTCTAGCAAGACGCATGAATGAATTTAAGTAAATGAAGGAAAAAGACGTAGGTCATTTTGAACTAGAATGCTTTGCTAAAAAAAAGGAAACTTGAGCTGAATTTAAAGGGTAACAACTTTGAATGCCTTAAAAATATCCCAAACTGACGTCTTTTCAATTTAGGTAAAGAGAATGTTTCATCGAACTATCTCCACATCGGATTAGGTGTCCTCCTGACACTCGTAATGCTGGCTTGCATAATTGTTTACATCATCTACCGCGAGAATAAGCGCAAACGTAAAAGGGTTCATGATCCTCTGGACGTTGTCCACGGTGATGACGAAGATGAGATCAACTTGTACAGTCCACTTAAATCTCCTCCCCTTCCGAGTTCCAAAGAGAAGCTCCTCATTGAGCCAACATTTCACACGTGTAAACACTTCACAAAAGCTCCGCCTTACTCTTCTGCTCTTCCAAATGGAACCATTGGGGATACGAACGTTCATCGGCGTAATTCAAGGCATCACGATGGGTCACACTTCTCTCCCAGCGAAATATCAAATAATATACCTTGCGGTCACAGTGGTACCCACTCAATTAAGAGTGGTATTTCTCTTAATTCACCGATTGTAAAAACATCCACTCCCCATTGTTCCGCCTGTCCTTGTGGTCATACTCTGATAATTCCTTCCCCTCCTATAACAATGATGCAAGTTCCATCCCCTCACAATCACAGTCGGGCAAGCAGCAGACGTACCAGTTTTAACAGTGATGGAAAGGAAAAGATGCAGAAGATTTCTATTGTATGAAATATGTAATTTAAGAGCTAAAGTAGACCCTGAACAGATAGGCGGGTTTATTGGTGTAAAGTAAAAGAATACTAGTATCTTTCAAACGTTATTTGTTTTTATTTGAATCAAAATAATTGAGGCCACTTCTAGCTGAGGTAAAATGTAAGCTAACTCTTCCACATTACATTATGTATATTTTTCGAATATCTGAAAATGTATGACAATATTTTGAGTTGCAGAAAATCCTTACTTAATCCGTATGCTTAATACGGGTGCCGTTGCTAACACTTTGCATATGGAACATATTTTGAAGTTAAACTAATTCCTAATATTTATATTAAATGGTAGGCTTTATGATAATTGACGTAAGTTCTTCAGTTGACTTCGGGCTTCACAGAGGGGAGGAACATCAATTTCACAAAAAATTCGAGGGGAGGGGAAACAGAAGAGTAATTCAAGGGTCTAAAAGAGACAGACATATACATAGGTGAAGAAAAAGGTAATGCGAATACTGTAGGAGTGGAGGAATATGGCATACAGTATGGTCATGCCAGTTAGAAGTCAGAAGTCAACTACCGTTTCATTGACTTCTTTGGCGTATGAGTACACGGTGCCCTGGGTGCACCATGTGGAGGTATGGCTGTCGCGCACCGTGCTACATTTCACACTGAAATTGGCCCATTCTTGACTCCTCACTCAATAACAACTCCCACAAGCCCTAAAGGTATGAGAAGTCAATGGCATCATACCTTTATAATCAGGGGGTGTTATTATTAAGTCCTGGCTAGTGCATACAATTGTTAAAATCTAATTTTGGTTGGGAAGTTCTATATCTGTTTGACAGCTAAATGAGGAAGATTTACGTTGGGATTATGCAAGAGCCTACCAGCTCAAATCCTCATAATTCATTACTTGCCATGGGTCCGCACACCATGCAATGCATCACAAGGCGTGTCATGAGTTGGTTCACAATCAAGTAAGCAAACGCTGATCCACGCCAGCAGCACGCACAGTGGACAATAGGAGGGGTGGGGGGGGGGGGGGGGCAGAGAGCCAAACTGGGACCACGTTAAGATGAATACACGACCTTCATCTAACCAATGGCCACACACCAAACTCACAGAGAGGGGGTGATTTGTGGCCAAGAGGCAAGTTGGCTGCCGCCCCTCGTCATTTGTGTTCTTTACTTCTTTCATCTTTTAACATATATAAACAATTTGCTTTATCTATATAAAGTGTGTCAGTGAAGATTTATTCAGATCACAATTCCTACAGAATAAACTAAGCTGCCATTGGTCAATTGACTTGACTTCAATATTTAACCAATTCCACTAGTTGATGCTGGTCAATAAATTACGACTGAGATCCTTATTTGCACTATATGGTATGAACCAAATGTATGCGTAACTCAATTTAAAAGGATGCTTATCCTGGCCATATTTGGCATTGTTTGCCATCAAAATAGAATAATCCTAAAATAATTTTCATTGGAATAATTCCTACTTCAGTAAAGGAAGGGTTAAATAAATTTGCTTTCCTATCCTTAATGGATACTGTTATTGCAAGAAACGTACTTGAAATTGAAAACCACTGGAAATAAGAGGTAAAGTTTAAGTCTTTATGTCCCTATATAAGCAGTAGATAAGCAGTCCCAGTTGTATTTATTCCTGGGGTATCAAATGTAAACATGATTTTGACTTGATTGCATTTTACTATTTGTTCTCAAATTGAGACATCAACACCTACGACCAATTTGCTGGGACGAGCTTTACGGAAATCATTGTCTCCGCCACTTGGGACCAATTATGGACTAGGCTCACCCAGAGTCATAGACAAAAAGATGTTATTAAATATCGTATAGTTTTGTATTATACTGAATTGAGCACACTAAGTCATTTTTATCGATCGACTTACATAACCATCTCTATTGACCCGCATAAGGTGAACTAGCTCTGGACTTTATTCATTCGAGTGTATTTTGCGAATCGTTGGAGCTTGTAGTGTATGATCAGTAAAAGACATTTCAAAATGTCTTCTGAAAACAAAAGAGCTCAAAACGTTAAGCAATCATCTTGATACCAATAAACTGGACCCTTGTATTTTAATCTAATTGAATACAGGTTGCGTGGCCTCCATAATCATTGTTCTGTCTGATGAGGCCTTGCTTCCATCTCCGTGGTTTTATCAAGGTCAAATTCAACTTAGGGCACTTTTAAACACGACACTACTCTGCAATAATGTTACCTCATTGTTTTAATGTCATTGTCCTAATTGGCATACATTAATCCGCCACCTTGAAATGCGGTTATGGTGGTCAAAACCTTGAATGATAAAACCTTTCCTGCATTGCATTCTTCGGTAAATATCAGCTGTGTAATAAAGTGAATTTATGTGTGCTTAAAGAGGGCATTTTAAAATGGTAAGATCTGTTCACGTTTCCTTTGGGTTGGGAAGAGTTTATGCTCATAAAACAGTATCTTCAGCCGCTCGATTCCATCACCTCGAGGACTTCCTTCTAACTGAATCAGCGGCCTCGATGATTCATCACTGTAATGGGTGAAGGTGGAGATAGATAATTTTAATGACCAATCTCAGAGTGGCAAAGATGCGATCGGAAATATGGAGTTGCTTTGCTATTATTTATAGGGATACGGTGGATTAGAGCTGATAACTGTGGACTACACTTCCAAAGTGGTGCTCAACACGCTATTGTAAAGCCCTTAGAGGGGCGGAATATACTGTAGTAGAGGTGGCAAGAGAGGCTTAAAGAGTGAATGTAAAGCAAATCAGTTGCAATTTATCTGATAGATAAAGTTCGTCGTGGTAAGATGTTGCATTGCAATGTCCAGTCGTATGGAACTGGTCCCGAGATATTCGGACGAAATGAAAAGTTGCCAACCAAAATAAAGAAGAATATTAGTTGAATTGGGGGTGGGGGGTG